AAATGCAATATATAGAATTATACACCTGAAATTTATATAATCTTATTAACCAAGGTCACCCAATAAATTTAATAATAATTTAAAAAATTTGGATGTTCATATCTGAAGGAACCTGAGAGGGATCACATAACTCAGGCCCTGATCCCTCTCCCCAGAGCACACATACCTGTAACTTCTGGGGAAATGAAAGAGTTGATATGACTTTGCTGTGGACATAAACCAGTCTGAAGCAAACTAAATCTCTAACTTAAGCCCCTTGGCTTCTAATCTAGAGTTCCTTCTATAACTTTGCACAAATTATTCAATCTTTTTTTTTTTGCCTCCATTGTCTGACCGGTGAAATGAGAATACTGAAAGGGCTTTTCTCTTTGGATTAAAAGTTTTAATGCAAATCAAATACTTAGAAACCATGCCTGGAAAATTTCAAGCTCTCAATAATGTTAGTCCTATGATTACTACACTATTTTACTATTTTCAACCAAATTTCAGAAGTGAAATATATATATATATATATATATCTCACACCAAAAGAAAGGATGGAAGGAGTAGCTTGTCTTCAAAAAGGATGAAGTACTATAGAATGTTTAAAAAGACCTCTTTATCTGGTAGTGCTATTTTCTCTAAGGAAGCAAAGTCAAAGCCTTGTTATCGAGACCGAGACCAAGTTTAGATAAAATATTGCAGGTGAATCCATGTTCATTTTATCATTTCAGACAATAGGTAGCTTTTTATGAAAAATACATGGTTTGACTGTGGCAAACCAGGCTATGTGGGACCTAAAGTTCATACAATTTTGAGGGCCTTTCTTTAGAAAATAATAGTGAGTATATAGAATGCAAAAATAAATGATAACTAGTTACTAATTTTTAAATGTTGACAAATACCAACGTTTTACAAAGTCTAGAGAGACAGACTAAAAATCCTAGATATTCTGAATCAAGTTTAGATGATTGAGAGTTTCCCACAGCAAGTGAAGTCATGATGTAATAAAAATGTTCTGATTTAATATAACAACTCAAAGTGATATTGAATGCAAACTGTAACTGAAAAATAATTTTTTTAATGGGAAGGAGCTTAGCCTAAAGTATGCTGAGGCCTTTGTCCCGTGTCCCAGTAGAAAGGGTAGGAAGCCTGAAGGAGGTAGAATGGGACCTGCTGAAACTAGGCGGGCTTCCACCAGGGGGGCCTAATGTCCCCAGGCACCAAGGCTGACAGGAGCTAGTTTGAACAGGCCTCTGTGAGGAAGGAGAAATGGAGACCAGTCAGAGAGAGAAACAGCAGCAAACACAGCCTTTATCAGTGAGCACGGGCAGGAAAAGTTGGGAGAGCAGAAGCCAGACACAAAGAGGAAGGAACCCAGTAGAGGTCTCCGCAGATCTTTGGGTTCCATGTCCTGCTGCTGTAATCTTGCTCAAATCCTTTGCTCTCCTTACTTGCTTGACAAAATCCCATTTAAAAAATAAATAAATAAATAAATAAATAAATAAATAAAGCCTTTTCTGTAGGGACTAGAGCTAGGAAACTATTTAAAAGGAAACTATTTAAAAGACTATTAAAATCGTCTAGTTAAGATGTAATAAAATTCTGAAGTATAAAGATACTGTTTCAAAGGCGAAATGACTGACCAGGTGATTCACAGGGTCATGTACGCATCTCAACCATCTTATATAATAAATACCTAATATGCAAATTGTCTCCTCCACCAGGAGTTCAACTGGGAATTTGACCAGGGGGTGGGGACGGCCCCTTCCCACAACCACTCTCATTCCCGATTGACTCCCCCACACCCTGATCGGGGGTGGGGTTGGCCCACCAACCTCTTGCGGCCCCTCCCCCAACCAGCCTGGTCCCCCATAGGCACCCCCCTACCCTGATCAGGGGTGGGGCCAGCTGGCCAACCTCCCACATCAACTCATCCTGGCTGGCCCGATCGACCCTGATCAGGACGGGCAGGCTGGACCCCATCTGTGCACGAATTTGTGCACCGGGCCTCTAGTAATGTAAATAAAAATGCCTCAGAAAGCAATACAACTCATGTCAGTCCTGTTTAGCCTGAAGAGGATTGAGGAATGGTCATTTTTTTTCCCCCTCCCTCTAGATATATAGAAAAAATTCCAGGAGTGTGGCACTGGGATGAAGATTTTCTTCTCCCTTAAACAGGGCTAGCTTATCTTCGGAATTTTGTCTGCTTTTAGATTCAAGCTAAATATCAGGAGAACCAGGTAGGATAGAGTTTTATCATAGTGTACAATGTTGAATCAGATAAGCTGGATCAGCAGCAGAACTGCAAATGTCCTTTAAAAATATAGCCTGTCTTATATTCATGTCGCCTTGTCCCCACTGAAGGTTCTTCACCAGGACCACTTTAAAAGTATGCCTCCCTGTGAATTTCAACACAGCCACATGTGTGCACAGTTGTTTAATTGCAAGGAAAATTAACCACCAGAGACCAGAGCCTTGCAATATACACAAGCCTACACTGTACGCTAATGGGTTAATAAAACTCTAAAACTGAAGTCAAGGCATACTGTACAGTAGTTATTCCTCAGAGTAGTGTGTGTTTTCTTAGAATTTCATGTGCTCTTTCATAAAAATGAAATAAGAGAATATAAATTAATATTTTCAAGCCACAAATGTTTCCCTTCCTCTACCCCCAATAATTTGTTGGAAGTCATTTAAGTAAAGTTCAGCCTTTAGGTTACTTACTAGAAAAATATTATTTTTATTGTTTCCATGTTATGGTGGTGAAATTTGAATCCTGTGTCCAACATTCTGCTACACTAATGAGGCCTGTTTTCCAATTTCAAAAGCAATTTTTAGTTCTCATTATTCTTGATTCTACTACATGTGACCTTTTGAAAAACTTCTTTCTCATATTGATCTTTAATATCTCAGTTTTCTACCTCCTTTGTGATGGTTCTTTTTCTCATCTCTACCACTTCCACTTTGTGGATACTTTGCAAAGGTGTTTTTCTCCTTCCTCTGCCCATTGTATCCTTTGATTTTCTTCCAACTCTAATACTATGGCCTTTCTGCTAAACATTTCCCAGCAGGTGAGGTTATTTTCTATCTCATTTCTGGGTCATTTCATGTGCTATTGTTCCTTCCCAAAAGGATATCACCTTATACTAATGTCTACTTATTTTTCAACTTTCAGTACATCGGGGCATCTTTCCTTACGGAGCTGGGTACCTCTCCCGTGTATTATAGAGCATCCTGTGCTTCCTTTTACAATAGCCCTTACGTTATAGCATGTATTATATGCTGCAGTGGGTTTCAGTGCAGGAGGCCCACCAGTGGCATCACTATCGTCTGGGAAGTTGCTATAAGGGCAAATTATCAAGCCGCGAGGTGATTGGGCTGAGTTAGAAACCAGGGTGTGGCTTCATTTATGCTGTGTTGTCACAACCTCTCCAGGTGATTCTGATCCAGGCCAGCTTTATAAGAACCACTGGGATGTTGCATTTGCCTGTTTTCCCCTTGATTGTTCTACTAGATTGTGGCCTGTCTTAGAAACTATGGTGGCATCATCTTCATTGTGATGTCATTAGTATCCAGTGCAGAGAACGTTTTTATGAGCTCCAATTTCAGTTCTCTGATTGCTCTCTATGTAATTTGTATGGAGAGCCAAGAGTCATTTCAAAGTCAACATCTAGTACCCCTCAGCAACGCTATCCTCCAAAACAATTGCACACATCTGGCTCTACTCCCCTTACTGACAAAAACAAACAAACAAACAAACAAAAACAAACAAAAACTCTCCCTCCTCTCCATTAGTCATGGAGAGGCCTTAGTAATCATCTCTCTTTGAAGAATAACTTCATTTATTCTGAGTATACAGCTAAAACATATCCACTATAGAAAATCTGAAAAAATCAGTTACACACACAAAATAATTAACACCTGTGTGATATTTTTGGCAATAATTAACCTGCTCTCATCCTCCTTTAGTTAACTGAAAGTCCCATCAACACCTTTTGATTGCCTCCACCCTTGCAGTGCCTCTTTTTTTAAACCTACTTCTATTACCTACTTCGTAGCCTTCTATGCCAAAATAATTTTCCTAAAGTGTAATTCTGAGTAAAGTGCTAAAAAGTCCGCATGACCCTCCAGTGCTTCCAAATAAGACCACAGTCTGGAGTAGACAGTCAGGGACTCCTAAAGGCTCTAGGAGGGACTGCTTCCCATTCTCACAGCATGTCCCCTGTTTTCTAACCTTTTGAATCTTGCTACTTCCCTGTCCCAGCATTCCTTCTCACCAATGATTTTACTTAAATTTCCATTTCAATTTTGCTAAAATTGCAAACTTCTTACCTTAACCACCACTCTACTCCTTATCCCTCTCTCTACTCTGTTTTTTTATTTAGTTCTTATAGCCATCTAACAGACCATCTATTTCATTTGTTCAACTTGATAACTGACTGTCATATAAAGTTCATCAAGACAATGATTTTTGCCTGTATCTTGTTCATTACCATATCCCTAAAACTTGAGACGGTGCTGGCTACATTAAAGACACTCAAAATGTATTTGAAATATTGACTGACACATGAATGAACAAATGAATAAATAATGACTATCTCCTGTGAAAATTCAACAAGTCCTCAAGGAAGTCAGAGCTCTTACTCTTTCTGCTGAAGGTGAACTCTGTTCTCTAAAGACTATAAAACCGTTATTTGTACTCATGACATGTACTACATACTGAATTGAGTTATAATTATATGTTGCCCTTCTCGTTGAGGAATATACAAATTCCTTAAAGGCAGATATCAATTATCTTTGTATCTTTTGTAGTTCTTAATGCACTGGCAGGTAATAAATAGTTCCAAAAGTAATTAAATTATTGTCAAAAGAAAAGAAAAGAATTACCAAAAGCAGAAAGGGAGTTACCTGTGAGGACATTTTAGCATTTTTCCTGTTGCTAAAATTGAATGTACCTATCTTCTTAAGAATAACTGTTCCCAAAGAAATCACTATGCGAACATTCCACATCTTTACAGGTTATTAATGCTGCACTTGCTTTGGCTGCAAGACCCAAAAGTCAAGTGGTCAAAAAAACCATGGAAATGTACAAGTGCACGTGGGAGAATCACATCCATGTCCTCACAGAAGCTGTAGATGACATTACAAGCATTGATGACTTCCTTGCTGTATCTGGTATGTTTTTGACTTTTTAATTTATACATTTGCTCTAGTCAATTTTCTGAACCAGAAAAATACTGCGTCTAATTAATTTTATGCAATATAATGAGGCATCCTTATTGCCAAGTGCTGCTACGTTTGCTCTATTCTTAGTAATAAGTCTCATGCCTTGTGATCCTAAAAGGAACGTCTATTCTTGAGCAAAGCATAATTAAAAATAGTAGGTGGAAATCTTAGGCATATCCTGTTTTTTTCAAATAAATCATCGGTTTCTCTTCTTTAAAAAATTGGTATGTCTTGATTTCCCTGCATTTCTTTTCCAACCAAAATATTTCTACACTCAGAAAAATATATATATGTGTATACACACACACACACACACACACACACACACACACACACACATATATATATATATATATTACATATATATTTGTTTGATACACAATGTGTACTTCAACTACCAGTGTATATGTTTGAATAATGGTGATGTAAAGGATCAAATAAACCAGTCTAAACATCTGACTACACCAGGAACAGAGAGGCCAAGCCCAGGTGATTCTCATCAGGACGATTCTCACCACAGGCTTGTGGAATTGCTCTCAGAAAGCCATATTCTCAGAAGCATAACTCAGGTTTGACTATACTGTTCTAACAGCAAATAACTAAAGGCTTTTTAGTTTTTTTAATTCTCATAAAAATTAAGTCTCTCCTTAAAATAAATTATACATTTATTTGAGAAAGAGATTTCCTTGAAATGTGATAACATGCTTTTTTACAAACCAAATTCTTAGGAATTTCTAACATCATTTTATCTTTTTAAAGTTTTCCAATGTATTTTGTCTAACTTGTTGAACTCGTTACTTTTACCTGTGTATATATATTCATCCTGAACAGTAGTTCTAGAAACCTAGTGTGTTTTCAAGATTCCGTAATGAAAAGAAAATGTGTGTTAATTATTTTAAAATTGGTTTTATTTCTGTAGTGTGAAAAACTTTGCAAATAATAGATTTGTATGGGAGAAAATATTAACATCCCTTGTTCCCCTATTCAGAAATAACAATCACTGGTATCTGATTTATATCCATCCATAATATATATAAATATATATATGTACATATATATATTTATAAATATATTATATATTTATAAATTATATATATATAATTATTTGCTTTTTTACACATAATATTTGGCTGAATTTTACCACATTAGTATATAACATCAAAAATAATTCATTTTTTCTCCTTTTGTTAGCATTTAGATAAATTGTAATTTATTATTATGAACATGCTATGTTAAGCATATTTTTGTCTATTTGCAATGTGAATCCATTCAACATTTTATATTAGGGCAGTCTTTTGCAATTGAGCTGTTCAGTGCTAGGTTCTTTATTTCAGGTAGTTCTTTTGGTTACAATGAAAGGAACCTGCTGATGCTACTTGGTGTAAAGGCACTTTTATTGGTATACTGATGGCACAACAGGGAGACCCTCCTGAACACACAAGAACAAGAACCGTAATTGGCCACGTCTTGCATAAGTAGAGAGGCCGGGGTCTAAGTTACTCTTTGGGTCCTTAGAGCAGGAACCCATGGTTTTGCTTTTCAGTGCTGGATTCACCTGACCTAGCAACCTTCATAGTGTGCTACTTTCCATAAACACCTTCAGTGTTTTAGAATATTTTGCCTGCATGTAACAGAAAATGCATATGCAAGTTGCTTAAAGAATAAAACCCTTCCTTTTATCTAACTAGATGTGTTAGGTAGTTGATTCTAGACTTACTAGCCCTAGGATAACAGAAAACTTGGATAGCAATAATCCAGGTATGTGGGGGAGTATCTTATCACTAACATTATTTGGAATTGTTTGTACAGGGAGTAATAAATGGATTAATATGTAGTTGTTTCATTATTGTTTTAAATTCTCTACAGAGATGCACACTGCTATTTTCTATACTGGGGTGGACTGTTTCTACTGTGCTGTTTTTTGGATGCTCAAGTTGGTAGTGGTTTAAGGTTATTAATGACCTATGTAGGCATCTCTGGATTCTATTGAGCTTCCCTCATGGTTGAATCTCAAAGCATTATACCTCAGAGCATTACACAATCTACCTAAAACAGGAAGAAAAGCGGATTGTTGGCTTGAACCTGTCAAGAAAGAAATCGTTCCTAGATGCCTTCCATAAGACTTTCTCAAACTTGTTACTGATTCGTCCTGTACCTTCTCCTGGACCAATCACTAGCAAAAGCAAATGTGTTTCCCATGATGGCCTTACAGTGCTGATACATGGTTAACCCACATGACGGGGGACCAGAGAGAGTGGTATCCTAATTTGTAGCATTTGCTGATTTCTGTGGCATAAATACTGCCACGTTGACAATTATCAAGCTACCAATGTGATGTCATTGAACTCTGAATTGGGAAGAAGTACATAAAAACAGCTCTTGTGACCTGGTATAAACAGATTCTAGAGACCACTGGGTTTATACCAGTCATAATTCAACCTTCCTGACTAATCACTTACTATACAAACAACATCAAAAGTTTTATCTGCAGATAAGAAGGGGAAAATGGCTGTTGACTAAATAACAGAATATGTTTGTCACAAACACTGAGTGGCATCCCCTGCTTTATCAGATTTCTGTGCCTTCATTAGTTTACCTTGTAGTTAGCATGAGCTCCAGTGGTGTTTTTTGTTACATCATTACTTTTCAACATCTGTTCCTACAGATAATGGCATCTTCTCTCAAAATCTTCTCAGTCAAATACATAAGAAAGAATATAGCTGGGTCCAAATATCTTTTTAGTTCTAAGGCTAGATCCTTAGGACCAGGCTAGAAGTCCTAAGTCTAAGACCATAGGCCAACCAATGGGTGGGTTACCTTTCTTTCACTTGGCTAATTATAGTTCAAATTTCTACGATGGAGGCTGCCCCACTCTGGTAGCTTTTGTGAGGGGCTGATTTTCTTAGAAAAAGTTGCAGATGTGATCAGCAGTGAATGACTTTTCTGGTACTACTTTATAATGATCTTTTATCACATGTTGTTTGTATTCACAGACATCTGGTTCTGCAATTTTCCAGGTAGAACAATAAACAAGTTAGTTCACAGAGCATCTAAATTGTGAATTACCTAGAAAAATATTGTGTTTTCAAATTTTATAAACTTCTTTTTCATGGGCTTTCTTTCAGTAGATAGAAATACTCAATTCTGTTTCTACATATAAGTAAAGAATAAGGATCCCTAAAAGACTTCTATTTCTCCTGAGTCAGTTATAAAAAATTGTGGATTCTCAACACACAGGCTCTCCACATTAAAATATCGACCAAATGACAGCTTAAAATTAGTGAGAAAATATTCTTAGACTTCATTATTTCATTGTCATTAGAAAAGGTAGAGATCACACTGATAAAATGTTTACCTTATAATAATGTTTTATATTGTCCAATATTGACTGTAGGGTCAATAAGGGTACTTTTGATACCAAATGTCTTTTATTTATCTATTTCAATTCCAAATGTAGAAATATCATTGATGATTTAAAAATTGTATGTTTATATAATCACCAAATTTCTCATGATACACAATCAAAATGCCAATATTCAGAGCCATTTGGGGATTTTTTTGTTCTCTGCGATATGTAGAAAACTCCAAATACAAGTGCAATCAGTTCTTTCTTGAAAATAGTAAGGAATATAGCCACCTAACCAATGTATTATATATTTTGAGACTTTATATGTAAAATTGTAATGAAAGAGTAAATCTGTACCTACTTGCAAAAGCAAAGAGACGTTTGGCAAACTGTTCTCTGACATCCAGTTGTGCAAGAGGCTTTTTATGGTTTTGTGTTATTTATGTCAGTGTCATTCCACCAGTAATTAGAAAAAATTCTTCAAAAGGCACTGGTCCCCAAACTTTGTGTTCCATCACTGATGATGGAGCTTATCCCCACATCATTCACTATGCTTTTTATCACTCTCTGACAATGCATGTAACAAAACACCTGTCAGAAAATCACTAGTCTGAAGATTCTTTGATCACATCAGAGTCTGTCTTCTGCACAGACAGAAGATATACCTATGTGATGAGATTTAAGCAGCTCTGTCTTTTCAGCCTGCCCTGCCGCCTGAAGTCTCCACCATTAGTAATGCATTTGTGAATATAAAAACATTTCATACCTCTGTTTAAGACACAAATTTGGAAGAGGTAACATCTGGTTCAATTGGCTTTTTGAACCATTGCATTAGTTGACTCATGGTGAACAATAATCTCAAATAACTACTTAGAAGAAGTGAACTTGGATAGAAGAGAGAATGATTTGGACCATAAGAACTATTGAACCATTGCTAAGAAGTAAGGAAATGTGAGGGTTGGTGAATATTTGCCCTTTTAAAAAACTTTATTCCTTCCTTCATTAATTAAAAGATGTTGCATAATTTTAAGTGCTGAACACTATGAATGGTATTGGCGATTTAATAATGAGTAAAAGTTACTAGAAGAGATAACTTGCAAGAGAGCTGTGAGAATGGGGATTATTGGAGAGAGGGGATCACAGGATGAATAGAAAACACCACTGGCATAGTTTGGAATTTTCTAAAAGAGAGATTGCCCATTTATTGATTAGAATTAGCACTGCTGTTCCCTTATTGTAAAGGTGTTTTCACTTTAAAGATACTATCATATTGATTCTTGGTGAATTATAATATTGGAGGATGCTTGAGGATCTTTATTCCATGTCCTAAATTTCTCTTTATGTCCACTTTCCTCTATATCCACTGCTATTATTCCAGGTCAATCCATTATCTCTTACTTGAATTGCCATATAATCTTTCTAATTGAACCTCCTGCTTCCAGAATTTTTCTTGAAGGCTTTCAATAGGTAATTTGCAAGATTGATTTTGGGGGTTTATGTATTATGCTTTCATTAACTGTCTTCAGCCTGGAATTAATATTTTTAAAATCTTCAAATTATGACAAATAACTTAAATCATTAATTTTACAATGTTCTATGACCT